GAAAGAGATAACATTCCTACTCCATAACTGCTACAACCAGGGGTGAATTCCATTTCCGCTGCCAGAAACTCTAGATTTAACACAGCTAATCAACTTCAAAACTGTTCAGGCTCATGTCGTCTCCATTTCCCTCATTATTCAAAGTTTTGTATTCATCCACATCCCAGTCTGTGTACACCCATCTTAGACTGTGACCATGTATAAGGGACTGTGACTATGAAAACCTATCCCAGATGCCTCATTGTCCCACCCCAGTCTACGAGAACATTCCTTCAGTAAATTATAATGTTAGTAAACAGCTTTTATAAAAAGGATGAGGAGCCTAACTACTTATCTAAGAAACCTGTGGACTCTTCCTGTTAACATACTTCCATTCCCTCCACCAAGAAGAAGTGCCAAAGACCACCTTAAATTGCTAAACAAACAAGTGACAATGGCATTGTCCACAGTGCTCTTCTCTGTAGAGAGCCAGTCTAGGGCAGGTCTGCTTTTACCTTAGGTCTACCACTTCCTTCCCCAAACACCTGCCTCTACAACATAGGCTGTTTCCCAAGAGGCGCTGGGCTCTTCTTCATTAACACTTCTCCAAAGATTGAGCAGGCAGACAGCCTCATGGGGAACCTCACTCTCTGCTGTGTGTGTATCACTTCCCCCAAACTCTAGTTTAGCCGCAGCAGCTTCTGAACAAGAGAGCTCAAAGCATCAATAACAGCAAGCAACTGACTCAAAATTATTTTGCCTCACTAACCCCTGGCTCCATAAAGCAATAAGAAAGTAAATTAAAACGATGTGCATGAAACATTTTGCAAATAATTATAAACCTAACCAAATTCGGAGATAAGCTGCAGGTCTGAACCTTCAAAACTTGGACTAATTTTGAAGAGCGTGTATTTTTGCATTGAGATAAGAACCTAATGCAGCAGGGGAGCACTATTTAGAAACACAGCAAGCATACCAATATCGGCAAACTGACACCACTGCGTCCTTGTATTGATCCTATTGCTGCATCCAGCTAAGCTTGCTGGGATCAGCACTAATGATCTCACTGTTCTTAATCACAGAGCTGAAAACAAAGTACACCCAAACAGAATGGTTCGTTTCTCCCTTTCAAGAAAAGATATCAGCATTCACATGTCAGAAAAATTCAACACTGAGTTCATGTACACTAGCTGAAGAAGATATGGTTAAGGGGTGTTATACTTTCCAAATCCTGCCCTGATCCCTTCCCTTCCTAAATTAGAATTTTGCATCTCAGAGCACTATTAAATATCCTCTTGCTTTGTTTTCAGTAAACATGAGGTATTTTGCTATCTTTATCCTGCCTAGTTATATTTTACAATGAAACCAGGAACATTTTAAGTAAATTATTTAAGACTGTCTCATTGTAGCCTACTTACAATGAAAGAAAAACAAAAGCAAACTGAACAGCAAATGACTACATTTGCTATAAAAATGCTTCTCAGTATGTTGAGCTCTCCCTGCCACCCCCCAGACATGAGACTGATTTATGACAGAACCAAGATATTCTTTCAAGCTGTCAAAACAATAAAATAAAGAGATACTGAGTGGAAAACACTGGACTGCCACAGGCTAAACTGAGTGGTAAACAGCACAGAATTCCTTCTTCCTTTGGTGTGAGGAAAGCAAATGTGCCTACCTTCTTGCCTTCTCCATATATAAGGGGAAACTTCAAGTCATCTTCCTCAATGGTTTTGTATGCCCTGTGGGGGGAGGACAAAAAAAATTTGTAAAGCTTGCACTCAATTAGTCACCCAGTGCCCTGAAACAAGCAGCTGTGATTTAACAAAAAAAAAAACCACAACAAAAAAACCCAAAAAAACCCAAAAAAAACCAAAAACAAAAACCCAAACCAAACCATCATTTTTCCTAGGGATTCTGCTCTGTCTTTGAGCCAAAATGTAAATTTATTTTTCTGTGGAAAGATTTTCCCTAAGGAATTATCTGTTTTACCAAAAGAAAAAATGAACACAAAGAAATACCTAACATGCCAATTTCCTCCTATTGATTGCAACTAAAAAGAGGTAGACTGGAAAAACATCCTAATCAGGTAAGATATCATTGGCTATGGCAGCAGCTATACTGTAATAGAGGGTCATAATAAAAGCCCCAAACCAACCAACAAAAAAACCTCAAACCCGCTAAGAAACTAACCAATGACCACATTCACACTGTTAACACGAAATGGTGGGCAATGAGATGACGTGGACTCAGTCAAAGTGTGAAACAGCTCTCCAATCCTTTTCTCACCTTTCAGGATTGCTTAAACCAAGACAAGCTTTGTGTGCCAAAGAGTCTTACGACACTTAGTGCTCATTTGACCTTGACTGCAACAGTCAAGGTTGTCAGAAATTCCACATTTCACAGCAGCTTTCCCATGGTCAAGAGACAAGAGAAATAAATGCTCATACTCTGATCCTGTTTACTGCATGCCTGTGTACTCTACCTTTTCCACATCTAGCTGTTGACACTGATGAGGTGAGAAGGTGAGCATTTTTGCCAGTGAGAATAAAATAAAATAGATGACTGTAGGGTCCTGTGGTTTGTACAACGTATGCTCAAGCCAAGGTGCTGGGGAGCCTCTTTGGCTAAACTACGTCACGCCAGAGGGACATGCTTTCCCTTCATACCACAGAATTGTCCCTCCCAGCCTTTCGCTGCATGTTACTCTTCCGTCCCAGCCCATGCCTGCCCAAAGCCCTTGGGGTGATACCAAGATCATCCTCCGGGCATGCGAGTCAGCACACCCTGCCAAAGTGGAAGGACAAGTAGGAGGAGGGAAGGCTCTGCTGCATGTCCCTGGCCAGCCACCGCCAACCCTTGCTGCAGCACAGCGCTCCAGCTGGGCTGGCTGCCTGAGCTCTGGGGAGCCGCATTTCATCAGTTCAAGCAATGTTAAGGCTGTGACACAAACCAGCAGGAAATTAAAAATTAAGGCTGAAATCCTATATTGTAATCGAACTGCCCCTGCTTCACCCAAAATATGGCATAGGCCTGGGATCAATAAATGGTGCTATATTACACAGCTATACATGCTGCATCGCCCAGGCAAGCCTCAAGACTTCAAGAAAGTAGAATAGACATTTAAGCCCTACCTTTACATTTCCCAGTAATCACTGGTAGGACTGATATTAAGATTTGAGGAAGAGGGGAAGGGGAAGAAAAAAGAAAAAGCAACCAAAATGCATAGAAAAAACAGTAGTGGAGGACTCTGCTCCTGTACTACAAAACGTTACTACATGTGAAACCCCAAAACAGAACCAAGTGAGGTTTCCAAAACACAGTGGGTGATTCATGGGAGAACATGTAGGCAAGAATATTTTGGGGCTTGGGCATCTCTGTAAGAGACAATAATACAGTGAAGGCATCTAAATGGCATTTTGTACTGGGGAGGACAAATGGATTAGCTCTTAAACAAAACAAAAAAACATAAATCACTACAAGTAGCCAGCATGATAATACTTCCCTGATGTTTAAATCCTGAAATAGCATTTTGTTGGGAAGGATGAGTCAGTCATGGACTTTGCTCTTGTTCCTTCCTTTATTTCCAACAGGGAATAGTTAACATCTCTGCCTCAATCACCAACTTGGATATCCTGGTTTGAATGTGGAGGAAGAATTTTGCCATTCTCAGTTGACTGCTCATGACCATGTTCCAAAGCTTCCAGCTGGACGTGCAGTGCTGGGAGCCTAGGCAAAATGTCCTCAAGAAGGAGTCCAAACTTTCCTATTCTTTGCATAGAGCCAGTTGTGCTCTGACACCAAGAAAAAAAGCATCAGCTGAGTCCATGTCAGGCATCACTCAAATGACTGACGAGACAACCACTCCTACTGGATTTTCAAGTTGTTGAATTTGTTGCAAACAGCAAACAAGACTAAACTGATGTAACTTAACTTATTTGCAACCTCCTTTTTAAAGGAAAACCAAACCCATTATTTACCCACAAACTATATTACCTGCAAGCTAACTACAAATACTTAAGGCTAAATCCCTCACTTTACACTGTCCTGTAAGAGCCAAAAATGGGCTCTTCCCACTCTCCCCTCCTTCCTTATATTCTGCATAGCACCTCACACTGTGCCTTAGGAAGAAAATAAAAAAGGTAGGAAAAAAAAAAAAGGGTGAAAAGGCACCATTTAGGCTGGTGTCCTTCAAAAGAATGGCCCCCACTGCCAAGCCCAGCATCTTTATCCATAAGAACCATTGTCTCTAGGGTATTCGACCGTGACAGAATGGTGTAAGGATGCTGGAAGGGGCTGTGTTGCAAGGGCTGAAGCTAACTTGTTTCATCTGCAGATCAGGAAGGGCAGCTGGCTAGCCCGTGACCTCCTGAAGCTATCTAACTAAGCAAGGGAGGCCCAGAGGGCTATTGTGATTTGTCTGTGGTTCCTCACAGCAAATCATCTCTTGGGCTCAGAACCTGGGTGTCAAGACTCATCGCAAGCATGCTTATTCTGTTGATCTTGCTATTGCCTGAAAAATTACCAGCACTTGAAAAACAATGCTCAGAACTGCAACCACAGCAGTGGAGCTGGCACAGGACACTGAAAAGCAACGTGAGACACTCTAGAAATGTACCTATGTCCTGCAGTACTAGCAAAACAGAATTAATAATATATGAGCATGTGGTTTGCTGCAAGAGAAGGACGAAGGACAGCTTTTCAGCTAGCAGCTCTGCAACTGCACTGGGGAGAAGGAAGGAAGGAAGCTATGAAGTTCATTTTGATTTATGCCCTGTGAAAACTCCTGTACTTCGTACGTGTGTTTATTTCACACAGGCTACAACCTTCTGGACTATTTCACTTGATTTTCTGTAATAAAGTCACATTTATACCTTCGTGTGCTGTTTAGAGTGCGCTGTATATATAAAGATATAATACAGCAGCAGGTATATCAAACACAGACATACAGAGAACCTGAGGGGGTTGTTTGGCTTTTTTAGTGCCAGCATGGCCTTATTCAGCTATCTACATAATTCAGCCTAGCTCGCTGTTTCAGAAAACAAACACGGGGTTGCAACCCTCCACCCTCCCCATCTTCATCTCAGAAGGTCTCACTGGCCACCAGGCCATGACAAGACAGGTTATAAAGACAAGGCTATGCTATTGCTTGCTGTTCTGAATAAGCCTAAATCCTGTCAAGTGCTTCTGCCACGTAAACCTCTATTTTTCCAAATGGAATATCGGGGGGCTGAAGGAGGAGTAGAAAAGGCGAGCTTGTGCCCAGCTAGATCTAGCTGCTTTTTTTTTTTTTCAGTTAACTTCATTTCTTCTTTTAATTTCAAAAGAATTATGAAATGCTACTGCTGTCCAAAAATACTGAACTAGGGCTTGACATATGTACCACCCACAAAGTTACATTTGGACTCAGGATCAACATTTTGGAAAACCAGGCCAAATCGCACCAGGAGCCAAAAGAGATGTCAGAACGAAAGAACTAGGACTGACATGATGTTACTCGTACGCTAACTGGAATCTGCTCTAAATACATGGTGAAAAAAATCACCAGCAGCTGCTAAACACACAAGACAATCTACGGAAGAAGTTTCCTCCAGTGCTGAGGTTATAGTAGTGCTTTAGGCACTCTTTTAATAAAAGATTATCAAAGTTACCTGCATACTGCTGGGTCAGAACTGGAAAATCTGGTCAGCTCCCAAATACAGATTTTGGAGCCAAAAGCCTAGATAATTTCTTACATGTGTTACGCATTCTCCTGCCATATAATTTGTTCTTAAAATTGGCCTTCCAAAAGCACATACAAATTCACGTAAGAGTAGAAGTTGCTGGTGACCAAAACCAAAATCCATATAGTATTTTCTTTTACAGCAAACTGTGTAAGGTTACTGGTCATGAAAAGTATTGTGTTGGCATCCCCAGGCACAACAGATGGTGACAAAACCACAATCTACCCTGACCTGGAAGGCTCAGTTCTGTGCATGACAGGGGAATCCAGACTCTGTGCTCTGCTTTTCCATAGCATTTGGCTTTAGAAAGTTTGTCTGTATTTCACATCTCTGCTAGTGACACCTGAGAATTAAACCTGAGGAAGGGAAAAAAAATTGTCAAAGGGCTTTGGCTTGAAGCATAGAATAAACCCACTTGTGGCAAGCAAGCAAGCAAGAAAAAGCACTATGGCTTTAGAAATGTACTAGTTTGTACTGAGTACAAGAATGAAGGCTCTCCTTTGAGACAGGTTTGTGCACTGCTTTGATAATCTGTAAAAACCCCCAAACCCAGCCAGAACTATCCCGCAATCTGTCCCTCCCCTCTTCCCCTCCAATAAAACCCCACAACAAAACTAACCCAGCTAGCCAACCAACCTCCCTTTCCCTAAGGCTCAACTTTCCTTGGTCATTCCAAATCAGATTTTAATCTTTGAGCAACTCAAAACTTGAAACCGTTTGTTTTTTTTTTTTCCCCTCCCACACAAGGAATCAGTGGATTGGAGATCACCCTTTGGATAACAGAGCTTAAATCACCAACCCAAAAGGAACTGTTTATCTGTACTGTCTATTGAACTACAGGCATCAAATCAGTATGAATGTGTGCTTAGTACCAAGAAGAAAAGATGTGTAGTGCAAGTCAGGCACAGAGCCACTGAAAATGAGGCAATTTGTCTCTCGATAAGCCATAACTTTTTAAAAATGTCCTTACACATAGGTGCTTCTGCAGAGTTGGGATCTCTAAATCGAGGCAGCGCTGT